GCGTAGAGAAAAAGTTATCCACCAGCTGCTGCTCATTCCCCTACCATTTTGACACTAATAGGTATAAAAAAGAGCAAGCTCCCTCAATACCCTTTTTTTTCTGCTAATGATATGGCTGTTTTAGATTCAAAAAGCATCTGTGTTTAATAAAGATAGGTCATTTATTCAAAGACCACTTAAATTATTTTAGTAAATGGCAGAACTCTACCTTATATTTAAATGTTGGAAATAAACAAAAGTACATTATCCTAAATGTCCAATGTTCCACCACTAATAATTAACAATCATCTTATCAAGTTATAATATATGTTAAAAGTTAGTGTTAAATTATCAAAAACAATTTTTACTTAAAAATGACTTCCCTTAAGAGTTTTATACAAATGAAAAACGTTTCATTTTATTTGTATTAATTCTATTAGCTTTTTTCAGCGTAGTGACCCATAATTTTAGATCTATCCCACAATACACCCAGGGGATGCTGATGCCGAGTGCAGGGATTCTACTTCAGAACCCGATCTAGCTTTTGTTTGAATACTTCCAATGATTTTATGAGGACAAAGCCAGCCACTTTTCATTTAGAAATCCACATAAGGGACATTAAATACGGAACCAGAAACTTTCATTTCTTACAATTAATTTTTCCATCAATAACAACACAGAGTAATCCTATTCCTTCTTACATATGGCAGTCACTCAAATCTTCTCCAAATAAACATCGCCCATTTCCTAGACTGCATCCCACTTACCACACCACTCAGGCCTTTCGCATTCTGGTTGCCTCCCTGTGAACATTTAACTCATAATGTCCCTCTAAACACGTGGCACATACAATTTAACAAATAATGTAAACGTTTTAGTCTAAATATCAGAGTACATTTGGTTTATTACATCTCTGAATCAATAATAGTTTTTTAACTATATTAGGGCTTTCAGCAATTATATCACCGCACTTCCCAACTGCCAATCTATGGACTGATACTTGAAGTTTTCAGTGATCTAGAGTAAATGAGAAAAGAACAGTGTAATAATTCTTCCATCGACTTAAAATTTTTCAGGTTAAATAACTTTAATTCTGAGTTTACGTCCTTCCTAAATATTGGGGAAAGGGAAAGGTGTAAAGTGATGGTGATAGAAGTCTTTACATGGCAAAAACAAAGTCTCACATTTCACAATCTCTCTTAAATTATTGGTCTAGTGTCCTAAAATGCTCAGGTAAAAAGGTCCATCTGATCCATTCTTTTTTTTTTTTTTTAATCCATTCTTTACTACCATCTAGGTAGGTAAGTGCTTGGAAAAACTTATATAATTTGCAACAACCAATCACAACCCCCACTCATGACACAATTTATGGCAGCTAAGCAAAGCTCCAGTGGGCTCCAACAAATAAAAGGGCTTCAAAGTGTTTTTAACACGAGTTCCTATTTTCCCTTACCCACTTCCCACTTACCTCTATAATTCTAAATAACACTCAAATCCAGCAAACTGAACTACATCAAATTAAGAGAGGGTTGGGATGATACAACCATTTGTTGCAGTTTAAATTACTAGCAAATAATTTGAACTGCAAGTGAACTACACCATCTAGGGCAGGGGACAGCAAACTACCAGCCATGGACCAAATCCAGCTCGGTGTCTTTTGGGTTTAGTGGAACACATTGTCTATGGCTGCTTTTGTACTACAATAACAAAAGTAAATAAATAAAACAGAGATCATTTGGCCTGCAAAACCAAAATATTTACTATGTAACCCTTTACCAAAAGCATTTGCCAACCTCTACTCTAGGGTAATGAACTAATTGCTACCAAAGAAAATTTTTGAGACCTACAACAACCATTAATCAACTCCGGGTGCCTGTACCATTCATATTATAATATCTAAATATAAACACTGGACTATCTGAATAGTCCTTTATCCTACTCTGTATAAAGACTTGTTGCCCACCCAAAATGAAGAATTTACTTACCTGCTCACTGAGCTAATCTTTAACATACATTTCTCAAGAACTCACTAGTGAAATAGTGAAGAATCCATGAATACACTGCTCTGTGTAATCTAAGGTTTAAAAAAAAAGTTGCAAATAACTCAAAGTAAAAATAAAGAAGAAACTATATAAAACTACATAATAATTTCATTTACATTTTAGATTTGCAAATACAAAACACTGCTAAAGGCACTTAAAGTAGAAAAGCTTAAGTTCAACAATTTAGGTAATCTTAACCACATTAAATAATACATATTAATTTTCCTTTTCTATTAAAAATGACTTTCATTTTCATGTATGTAGAGTTAGAAGAAAAAAAATAATACTTCTAATCTAATTCAATCATGTAGCTTTAAACATATGTGACACCAGAATCTCTAAAGAGTAAAATCACATTAAAGTATTTTGAAACTGGAAAGTGCTTAAGAGATTACTTCCACGTTTTACAGGTGAGAAAGTTTTGATACAACATGAAATATCTATGGTGAGAGAATTAATTGGTAGCAGAGGCAGAGCTAGAACCCAACATTCAACTATCAGCTTGGGACTCTTTCTAGTTAATGACTGAGCATGAAAGACAAGCTCATATTCTAGGAAAGGGATGATGTTGAAATATTCTAGAGTTTTAAATGTACAGTAAACATACTAATAAGGCTACTGCCCACTCAACCTAGCAACCCTCTTGTGTTTTTTATTAAACAATCAACTATTACATTACAGAAGGAAAAAACTGATTCATTGTAAAGCCATTCATTAATTAGAATGATCAAAAGAACAAACAAATATTTGCTTAACAAACTGTCAAAGATTTAAAAAATAAAAATCAATAGTCAAGTAGAGCAGTATGAGTATTCCTATATTGCTAATTTGGCACAAACTTTCTGAAGGGTAATTTGATCATATTTTAAAGAGCCTAAAAAGTTCTCAGCATCTAAACCAATTATTCCATTTCCATGAATATACCCTAAAGAACTAGTCTAATACAGTTCAAATTTCACATACAAAGATGTCCATTTGCTATTATTTATAATTTTGAAATATTAGAAACAATCTAATATTCAAGGAGAGAATGGGTTCAATTATGGTATATTCATATAACAGAATATTAGGCAGTCATTTTTTAAAAATCACATTTTTAAAGATATGGGGAAGGACTTATAATCTTAAGTTATAAAAGTAGGATACAACTATATGGTCAGTATAATCTCAATATTGTTATTATGCGCACACACAATCACATGTACACACTCATACATATAAATAGCATAGACAAAGACAAAGAAAATACAAAAAAATTAATAGTATTATCTCTGGATAGTGAAATTGCAGACAATTTTTTCTCTTCTTTATACTTTTCAGTATTTTCTAAATTTTCCATAAGTCATGTATTAGTTTTATACTCAGAAAACATTAAAAATTCATTCCATAGTCAATTTTGAAAATTTTACATTCTATATAGTAAATAAGGAATAAATATTTATAGCACTTAAAAATGTATCTAAATTATGGGAAATAAATCAGTAATATGTTAGAGTATAACTTCCACATATGTTTAGGTGGGTAATTTTGAATCCAAAAGCAGCATTATTTTATCTCAATTTTTGTGTATAGAAAGTTGATATTTAGTAAATAAGAAATGCAATTTTTAAATAAAATTGGTGCAAGGCATCTAAAAATTGTGCTATTCTGGTATATCATTGAAGATATAAATGTTCCCCAATGTAATGAAGATACCCACTGTTAGATTAAAATAGGTATAATCTAGTACATGCATGGTGGCCAATCATTACCTAACTGAATACATTTTTTTCCCAATGTGATTAGAATTGGTCTATGCTAAAGGAAGAAATACAACACCATACCATTATTTTAGTTGGAAGAGCCGCACCAAAAGTCATGAAAAAATATTTTAGAACTATAAAAAAATCCAGTGGCTTTTGTTGTTATTGTTAATGATGTCTTGCTAAAAATTCAAGTCAAAGTGCTTAAAGCACTTAAAAAGCATAGCAGCAGTCTATGGTCTGCAATGATTTAAAAAACTCTAAGAATACTCTTCAATGTTTCCTCATTTGCAGACTACTGCCTATCAAACACTATCTTTAGAGGAAAGGACTACATCTATGTTCTTTTATCAATCTTGAATATACAATATAGTAATGACACAAAGTGATGTCACACACAAAAAAACTATGTAATTTAAAAAGCTAGCTTTAAAATATGATTCTAATATCTGTGATAAAAAATCACATATATATGCAAAATATAAAATACATCCTAACATATTTTTATATAAGAACTGAAGTTTACCACTTGTAACATAAAAATTGAGATGAATTAATAAAAAACAATTTTCATATATACCACAGAGCAATAAGTTTAAATCAGACTATTTTGAGTTGTGTAGCCCTTTATTAGCAACTAAAATAGAAGGTATCTGTTGTACAACACGGGTAGTAATTGACTATAACTGGAGAATTATTATATTCTAATACAGATCATTTATAAATGCAATTTCTTTATTAAAAAGCTTCCACCTTTTTTGTCTGTGTACAATTTGCAAAACTATTCTGAAAGCGGAATATATGTGCACAAGTCTGCAAAGAGTGCAAATTTAGAATATGGTAAATGCTTTACAAGTTACTTTCAAAACACTGCCACAACTGGGCCATTACATTGCCATCTTCTTTGATCAAAATATTTGATGCCAGCCTTCCTTCCACTGCCCTAAACTATAAAGCATTTTTTAATGAGTTGAAATTAAGGAAGGACTACACCTACTAGAAAAGAAGAGAAGAAAGTTCTATTTGTTTGAGGTTTCAGAATCCCCCCAAACCAGGATCTGGGTCTTGGTAAGGGCTAGGCTGGGACCCCGAACAGAGTATGAGTATGTGCAGGTGGCATCCCTGAGGATTCAGAGCGTCAGTGGACCGTGAGTGCTCCAGCAGCGTAACTCACTGAACTGTCTTGCCAGTTTCTGCACTGGCTTGACTGAGCATAATTCAAAAAGGAAAAGCTCATATTCATTCCATTCTTCTGGAGCTCTGTAATAGCCTAAAAAAAGAAAGATGTGATTAGCACTCTGTGAATGCGTTGGTGGCTTAACTTGGCCCATTTCACAGCTGGTGCCTAGATCTCTTCCACTCATCACTTGTTTCTTTAATTTCTCTTCAACTCATGTTAAATAGGAATAAATGATAATTCCTAATTTAATTCTATCAAAGTACTTCTTGGATAAGACCGCTCAAAAACAAAAACAAATTAATTCATAGCATCTTTCTCTCTTTTCTCTAACCCAAATCTTAGCTACTCTACTATCTTGAATTGCTGCAGTCTTTTGTCTGGCTCTGGCTAAGGTTAAAATGTATAAAAATTAAGTTTCAAGAGGTATACCAGGATTTTTACTTTAATTGAGCCTATTATTACTTCCTCCTCCTCCCATTCCTGAGTATACACTCCCTTCTTTCTTAAAAAGTCTTGCATTTTATTTCAGAAAATCAATACTGTTTTATTAGAGAAAATATTAAAGTTATTCTCTCCTTCAAAATTCCAGCTAACCAAGACTTCTGGTGCTCACTTCGGCAGCCCATATACCAAAATTGGAACAATACAGAGAAGATTAATTAGCACGGTCCCTGCGCAAGGATGACACACAAATTCGTGAAGCGTTCCATATTTTAGAAAAAAGATTTCCACCTATTACCTCCATTCCTTAAATGAATTACTACTGTTTTTCTTGTAAAGAAAAAAATATATACATGTCATCTGTCTTGCTTTATTATCTTACACATTTCTAAAGTTCAAGAGCAAAATCTTCTATTTATTTTTATATAGTCTAGGACACTAAATAAAACCAAGAAATCAATAAGAACATCTGTTGAAAGGTTACTCTGGTTTATATTTATAAAGAGCATACTGGAGCCGAAACCGGTTTGGCTCAGTGGATAGAGCATCGGCCTGCGGACTGAAAGGTCCCAGGTTCGATTCCGGTCAAGGGCATGTACCTGGGTTGCGGGCACATCCCCAGTAGGAGATGTGCAGGAGGCAGCTGATCGATGTATCTCTCTCATCGATGTTTCTAACTCTCTATCTCTCTCTCCCTTCCTCTCTGTAAAAAAATCAATAAAATATATTTAAAAAATTTAAAAAAAAAAAAAAAAAGAGCATACTGGAATTGGCTGAGAATCTAGAGAAAATGGGTCTGCATTCTAAATAATTTCTGCATTTAAGAGAAAATATCAGCCTGTCTTCCAGTGACATATAACTTTATTCAGGTAGCCAAAACAATGGAAATCCAAATTATCTTAAATGTACTAAAAGAAAATTGACTATATGTACCGAAAACCTATGCTACTAAGTTACCTTAAGAATTCAAGATATTTTAAAACATCATAGGATCAAACATTAAAAATCAAGGCTTCTTAAGGATACTCACATTTAATAACACTCCGATGGGATGTCTTCCACATATAGTATTATGGTATTTCTTCAAGTAATTACTAAAAGATACAGGATCTAATTGTTCTATAATACTCATACCCTAAAAGTAAGTGAGAGGGGGAGAGAAAGAGACAAAGAAAATGAAAGAAAAAGGAAAAAAGGACACTATTATTTCTCAGTTACATTTAAAACAAACTGTTACTAGAGCTAAACACTGTAATTGTTTAAAGAGAAGTAAACTGACTACATTAAATAAACCTTGTAAAATACCAAACTCATCTGTCCAAAGCTAATCGCATAGTCAACTCTCAATAATACATACACTTCATTAATAGAAAACTTTTAAACCCCATTTAGTTTTCTCTTATCTCCTCATATGTTTCTGCACCATCTTCACCAGTTGCTACTTAGCTAATAATCGTTGATCATTTCATAATCTTATATCTTTATATATTTTTAAGCAAATCTATTGTGAAAATTTTCATAAAATTAAATTTGATATACACCTGTTTTCCCCAATATCCACTATATTTCTCCTACCATTGTCATAATCAAGAGTTGGTTGTAACTTAACTATTTCCATAACTAAACTTAAAGACATTTTAAATCATCAGTATTCTGGGTATGTGATAAAGAAGATACTACAAACTAAAGAAAAAAATAGTTTGCATATTTTTAATTAATTTAAAGTGCATAAAAGATTAATAAAAGGTTAACAAAGTAGGTCATTTAAGAACAAATTTTTTAAAAGAAAAGCTTTTTATTTCTTTAATACTTTAAACTAGGATGCTTTCTTTTCAAGATTTTTTCAGAATCAATGTTTGCTAGTAGACTATTATTAGAACAATCACTATGACTCGGACACTTGTTTACACTAAATTCTGTATTCTGCAAATGCATTCAAATAATATGTTCATAATACATTAATAAATACATAAGGGCAACTTTAACTCATCTGAATCAGGCAAATAAATTAATGAATCTAACTCATCACCTTACCTTATTTTCTTATTCTGGTAAAACACATTTGTGTTCAATAAACTGGATTAATATCCTTCAGGAGAAATGTAAATGGTAGTTTAACTAGGGAATTAACTAATATATTTTGTGTGGTTTTAAAATTATGTTTCAACAAAACAAGTAATGTGTAAAAAGCACCTGGAGTTCAGATGAACAGTCATCTGAAAAATGATAGTAATCATAGATGATATACAAATATTGCAGGGGCAGCACCAAAATTTAATTAATAAGGAATCTTTTTACACAATATTTAAGTCCTTCATAAACATTATTACATTCTGCTGCAACTATAGCTAAAAGACAGGCATACGCATGTATAATCAACTTTCAATTATCTGCATATCAATTAGCCACTCTCAAGACTTATCCACAACCAGTGATTAATGCTAAGTTGGTTTTCCCCTGCCAGCTACAAGGCTACCACATCAACAGCCTCCACTGACTTTGGTGTAAGCTCAGAGACAGATGAACTACCTTAGAAGATAAACAATTAGTATTTTAATTCTGGTGCAAAGAAAAATCACACAATATATTTCTAAACCAAGCAGAGATGAAGTAACAAATCTTTTCCATAAATACAGATAATCAAGATATAACTCCCTAAAGATGAAGAAACAGACATGAAGAAGGTTAAAAGCTTGCCTCTAACTTTCTAACCCTAGGCTCTTTCTCATTGACTACTCTGCCTTACCTCGTATAGCAAAGACATACCAACAACTCCTTAAATAATCTCTTTAAATAATATGGTATACATGTTATATGAGAATTTTAATGCTCTTGGATGAAGTCTAGGACAGCTTACCTTAAATAGAATTCCAATCATTAATAAATTATGTGGCATTGAGGTTCCAATGTATGTTTTAATATTAAAATCTCAAAGCACATTTTTGAACAAACATATGAAATGTATATATTGACATGAGGGATTCAAAGAGAAGGAAAATAATGATCCCACTTTAGAAGAAAATAATTCAGTGAAACTGACCAAGAAATTTCATATAGAAAGAGATAAAAGTTATAAATGTAGAAGACGTTACTAAATAAAATGTTCAAAATGAAGATACTGATTAAATTACAACAACAAAAAAAACAAACCCTGATGATGGAATATAAGGGATTAAATTTAAAATTTTAATTCCCAAAAGTGTGTTATGTACCTACTAGAGCAAGAATCAATTTCATTACATTCAATTCTCTGATGAATATGACAGTTAAGAGGTATGCCTTTTAATAAAAGAGGGACAGAGAGAAAAGTTAAGGCTTTACAATTGAAAAATTCATGAAGTTCACAAACAGCAATAATGATAAAATTGCAAAATGGGACATTCATTAACTAATACAAACACTGGCAAATATGCTTTAGTATATGTTTATGTTTTGATGCTAACAATTTTGAAATTACTATTACCAAAATTCCAAGATGATGAAAAATAAAATGCTTCTCAAATATGCCTAATTAACTTTTCCATTTCTTAAAATACTGGAAGATATGATCAGTGAATCTAAGGTCCAGGGACTGGAAAGCTTGCTGATAGCCTAGTAAACCGAATATTTGTTCACATGAATTGATTCTAATATGGAGCAGTGAAGTGGGTCACTACCCATTCAGTTCTAAGATACAAACCAGATGTTATAAACACCAAAAGTCTATCCATCAAGACTGGATTTCTGAGGAAGTTAGTACCTTCAGCAAGAAATTCTCAGATTGAAAGCTAAGTCTCTCCTTTGAGGGGGAGAAGGGCAGAGGGTATCAATCATTGTCCTCACTCTCCCAGTAAAGGGTGAAAGCTTGCAATCAAATCCCAATGGCAGTCCTAACCTAAATAGGCAGTTTTAACGGACAGAACTGCAGATTCAGGACTCTGGTAAAATAACAAAAAACTCCCCTTTGAAAAAAGTTTATCTATATATAATAAAATACTTAAATTTTATTTAATTATTATCTCCCAGAAGTAATCTCCCTCTAAAATAACAAACACAAAAGAGTAGCTAAACTTTTTAAGAGGTCTTTAAGAAATAAAAACTAGAATCATGTCTTCTAATTATGAACACATAATTAATCATATTATCAAATCATTAGGACTCTTTTTAAGTGAGTATATACATTTATGTTGGAAAGATGAGTACACATTTAGGAAGGTAAGATGAGAACAGAAAATATTCTGGTTTCTGTAAGAGGCATCAAGATAAAATCATATAGTGAAAAAAATTTTATAGGAAAAAAACATCACCCTAAAGACCACTGTGTTAAGAAGCAATGTACTACCTTAAAGATGGTATTATATAGCTATCTTAAATCATTATCTTAAATAGCTAGCTATCTTAAAAATAATGTTTTACAATTGCTAAAGACTACTAAAGAAACTATTGGTCTAAGTCAAGAGAAAGGTATGAATAGACAAATATAAATAATTTCAATTTCAAAAGAGTAAGAAGGAAGAAAAGTAGCTGAAGTTCAAAGAAAATGAAGTGTTTACTAATAAATGTGGAAGGAAAAGAAGTTGTAAGGATGACTACAATGACATTTTTGGATTCTCTCTGCCAAATCATAAGTAATTTGTCAATGTCCACATTGAAATATTGGTCTACATCAAAAGTGATACAGAAAACATAATCATGTAACATATGTAAAATATGTATAAGTATGGCTAATGTTTCAAGTATGTGATCTAAGAAGTTAACAAAAATCAATGTCTTAAAATATGTTCTGCTTTGGTCACTGTAGTTACTGAAATTACAAAGTGCTAATTACCAAAACACCATGGTCAGTAGCTAATAATACTATGACTTTCAGAATCTGTATCTTATAACCAGTTACCTCACTCCCTCAAATACAACTTTTGGAAGATCCACTTTGTTTTCTTATATATTTTTTTCTTTATATATGTATTTTTTCACATAATTAATTTCCAAGATACTCAAATGCTAGAGATATAAACATTTTGTAATAAAAACAGCTATTTTTCTTTTGCTTTGGAAATTAGAACCTACTTTTGTTTGTTTCCTAGCTTTTTAATAACTACATTTAACAAGACTTTTCTGGTAACCAAAAAGGACCAAAACTGGTTATCACACAAATTTTAAATAGGTTAAATCTAAAATTTTATACTTAAAAATAATTTCACTCTATCAAACTTTCAAAATGTATAATTATTTATAATTCAGAATTACTAACATTTTTGTAATACTTACAAAGAGAACCACCAATTTCACTGTATTTGCTCTGAAAAAAACTGAATATGGAAACTAAGATATTGGTTCTCGAATGAGATTATTTATAACATAAAATGATACTTTAAGAAATAAATATATAAGAAATATACAGAGGAATATTCACCATTTGGTTATATAAATCAATTAAGAAAACACTATATTATAAGAAAGTCTGCCTAACAGTGAGAGTACATATACACACATATGTATAAAAACATACATACATGAGTATTTAAACAGAGCTAAACCATTCTTATTACTTTAATCCATTTATTCTAACTCTCAGAATTGATTTATAACTTGAATTAACAGCATGCTAATACAAGAACAGAACACTTATGAGTCATTTAAAAATCTATACATAAATAGAAATGCTTCAATAAGTGGACTGCAAAAGTCATCTCCAAGTCAAATGTTATATCAAATATTAAAATCAATCATATTAATATGAAGCAAATACTCGATATTCATTCAGAAATTATATTCCAGGCTATTTAAATAAAAATTTTAAAATTATGCTTCTTTGGACATCTAAAGTAAGGTAAGTCAGATGCAGATTTAGAAGTCACCTAAAGCTCACTGGTTCTACTTATACTTCTGAAGTTTCAAAGACTTTGAAGCTAGCATAAAAGCAATAATTTCAGGAAAAATATGATAATCATGCCAATGGGTAAATGATACTCTTTTCTGCTCTGCCTCAAAGTAAGAAACCAAGGTCTATCTATTTAACTGAAAAAATTTACTCAAGAGAGACAAATTAAGCTAGCACTCTTAATATAAACTAACAGCACAGTTAGTAGAAAGGTTAAAAGAATTAACTATGGGTGTTCATACATAACACAAACACAGAATAACAAAGACTATTAA